AATATATGTGTAAATATGTACATACATTATGTGCCACATATATATTACAAGCATTAAATTTTACCTGGAAAGATACAGTTCCTAGTTTTAGCCATTTGATATGATTTAGTATTAGGACTCTATTATTAAAAGTATCAGTGAGTCCATTAACTTTTGTGTCATCAACAAATTTAATCAGCATCAAGTTTAAGTATTCATTGAAATAATTCTTCAGAAGAGTAAAAGTGATTGGATAAAGAAATAATGTCATATGCCAATCACATTTTCTTGCATGTTGATATTGGTTTATTAACATCATATTAGTTCCGTTTGTTTAGGTGAAATAGTTGTCTTCTATTTTATACATTCTTTTTTTTGTTGTTGTTGTTGTTATTGTTTTTATTGTTTACTTGATTTGTTGCCTTTTTTAAAATTTTATTTGTGAACATACTGTACAGAGGGGTTACAATTGCATGGGCAGGATAATGCATACATTTCTTGCCAAGCATTGCAGCCTCCTCCTTTGGTTTACCCTTCCCATCCCTTCCCAGCCTCCCCCCCTATTTTATACATTCTTTACAGATACACCCTTATACACACAGAGCCTGTTGTCTTTACACAAGAGATGTGTATATGAAAAACTTCAAGTAAATTAATCACATCCACGAATTCAACAGAAACCAACGTAAAAGGATTTCTGTAATGAACAAAATGTACCAATGATACTTTAGTAATGCTATGTCATCATAAATGTTATATTGTTATGTAATTTTAATGAGCTAGAACTACAAAATCAAAACACAGGAGCTGAGGGGCTGGGAAGGTGGCTCAGTGGTAGAGTGCTTGCCTTGCATGCCTGAGGCCCTGGGTTCAAATCCTCAGCACCACATAAGCAAAAAAAAAAAAAGCCGGAAGTGGCGCTGTGGCTCAAGTGGTAGAGTGCTAGCCTTGCATGCCTGAGGCCCTGGGTTCAAATCCTCAGCACCACATAAGCAAAAAAAAAAAAAAGCCGGAAGTGGCGCTGTGGCTCAAGTGGTAGAGTGTTAGACTTGAGCTGAAGAGCTGAGGGACAGCGCCCAGGCCCAGAGTTCAGGCCCCACGACCGGCCCCAAAACAAAACAAAACAAAACAAAAAACACAGGAGCTGAACATTGTGGACAGAAAAGTGAACTAAGCCTGGTCTCCATGGGAAGACCAAAAGGAAATCATTTAATTGTTTAGTGTAGGCCTGAATCTTAGCGCAAGTTTAACCTTGTTAGTTTGTACATGAATTGAAAAGATAAAAAAAATGGCATTTATCTGTTAAATATATGTTGTTAAGTAAAGCTTAAACTTTTCTAGCAAAGGATAAACAAAATTATGGCAAGAGTCCTCTGGTTAAAGAGAAAGGATAGAAGTATATGAAAGTTGTATGATGTTTTAACCTGGAAAAGCAGGAAGTACTCCACAGAACACAGTTCTGATTTACAGTCTTAAAGAGGAGTATTCTAGATCCTGTGGATGCTGCGGTGGGATTTCCTGTAACCATCTGCTACCCTTCTAGATACGAGGTTTTTCAGACTCTTAGAGCATACACATTCTACCAGAAAGGAACTAAGTGATCACAGATGGAAAGTGGAGAAGGGGCCTTACGGTAATAGTGGGGAGGCAGGAGCTGTTGAACCAAAGGGAACACATTGTTAGCATTCCAGGAAGGGAAAGGACCAGATAGTGCATGGAAGGGGGGGAAAAAACTAACAAGATAAAATTCAGAAAGTATAAACAAAGATTCTCAGCTATTCTTAGAAATCACAGTGGTAGTGGCAGTAATCTCAGATTATTTCAGCATTGTCAACTTTTTATCTGTATCTATTAGTATGCTGAATGCCAGCACAAGTTCCCTGGAGCAGAACACAGTATTACCATGGCCTTCGCGCGGTGAGTAAACACTGTCATTCTGACTCTTCCCACCTCTTATTTTAGGACTGCACGTATCACTATGCAGTCAGTCTTCAGGAGATAAAAATAGCTCTCCAGGACCCCCATGCCATCTTGTATAGACTTTGACCCAGATCAGCATATAAGATTAATTGGAATTACAGCGGCAGTCTATTTCCCCCACCACACACAATTTTTCTTAAGCACTTCCATATTTACAGCATCTGGTGCACTGACCAGAGATCACTGAGAATTCCGGACTTCATTTGGCTCAAGGACCTGGCTGTGTGCTAGGTATCACAGTACAGGTTTTAACAGCCACTGGGTTCTAGATGGTACTATGCTGTATTTCCTCCAGGACAACATAATGTTTCTCCCTTAGCTGTAGAATTTTGATGCATGTTTGATGAGGAGCACAAATAAACGTTCCATCCACGATCCTTGAGGCCATTAGTGAAAGGCTAACTACTGTGTTCTCCTTAGTGGGCATCTTTAGCGTGGCTTCTAGCTCTCATGGCACCTTTCATAGTGACGGGCACTTTCAGCTCCTTCCTGCCCTGCTGACTGACAGGACCTCCCACTGTCTAAAGGAGTCATTTAAGCTTTGTTAATTCCCACCAGTCTCCTTAAAGAGGGCTCCCTCTAGTGTTTATTTCTTCTTTCAAGAATATGGACCCAAAGAAACGTAGGTTGCATGGTTTCCCTCAATTGTGGCAACTAGAATGTGCCTATATATTTACAAGTAAACACACTAGATGGGACATGATAAACTATACAGAGTGAGACCAAAGAAGGATGTTCTTAGGACAGGTACACAAAGGCACGATACCTATGTGCATATGGTCATATAAAATAACATTTATCGAAATGAACTCCAGGAAAAGGAAACAAGAGGTTTTTTTCCCTTCCTTCACTGCTGTTTTTGTTTCCTTTTGTCTTGTTTGTTCATTTATCTGTCTTGGAGAGGGTAAGGGAAGGGGACAGAAATGGAGGGACAAAGGGTGACCAAATGCAGAAGTGATACTCACTAGACACTATATCGAAAATGAACTATACAACTTGTGGGTGGGGACAGGAGGGAAAAATTGGGAGAGAGTGAGGGAAGAGGGGACATTGTTCAAAAAGAAATGTATTTTTTATCTGACTTAGCTAATTGTAACCACTCTATACATACCATCTTTAAAATAACAATAAATAATTTTTTTTTAAAAAAGAACATATATTTTTTTCCTGATGTAGTTACTTTTCCTTTCTACCTCCCAGCCTCCTAAAGTCTAGTACCAAATATCCCTACAGAAATTGAGGCAGAAGGGAAAACTGATCAAATCACAACGTGGATATTAGCAAAAGTGATTGAAGAAAATGATTTTAAAAAATGATTTGCACTCATAAAAATCTAGAGTTAAAGATTCTCCTTTGGCATATGATACCAAATACAGCTGTGTTTGGGTGTGTCATATTCCAGAGAGCAGTTCTCAGTAGCAGTACTTTCTATTCATTATATCACATTCAGATCCATCTCCCTCAAGGGTGGTCTTCTAAGGCCCTTAAATTAATTCCACTCACGTTCATGTATTCTATATTTGAAGGCGATCAAGCCGTGGCAGATAGCAGAAATCTGTTTTACATTGTATCTAGGTAGATGTGTAGCAACACACTGTTCTAATTTATGCCCAGAAAGAATGCAAAACAAGTATTATTCATCTTTATCTAGTTACGATTCACTAATAGTAATGAACTCATCAGGAAAATGACCAGAGTGGTAAGAACTGAACTGCAGTGGACCACACACTACCCACTACAGTTAAATCACTCAGAGGCACCATACCACTTTATTATACCCATGAATCTTTATGGATAAGTTTGTACATTATTAATTTACCTTCTCTGCAGAAAACAGTACCATCTTTTTTTTTTTAAGTAAAACACCAGCTCAGGTTAGCATCAGACCTGTGAGAGAGACCTAAGATTATTATTCTCTAGCTCAGAGGCTCTAACATGGAGGTCACATGATTATGTCCCTCCACAGAAATGTAATTCACTTGAAAGTCCCTTTCTATCTCTTACAATTCCTCTCATTTCCATTTACTACCTATTTTGACACACACTTTTTTTCCTGTAATTAGACTTTGTGGCTCAATGCATGTATTGGAAACCCACAGGGCCAGTAAACACAACAGCCTTGTAAGTACTTCTATTTGGTAGGTATTACAGGGTTAGAGATAAAGACTCTCAGGATACTTGGCTGTGTTTAGGGTAAAGCCTAAACAGACAAAATTAAGCGTGCCATTTAAAGCCTTTCTGTTTGCTGCACCATGGATCTTTGTGGTAGTCCTAAGTGTAAGGTGTGATGCTAGAGTTTCACAACCTCGTCCCCCTCACCTGCCAACCTCGCCATGCAGCAGAGTGATGGTCAAATGTGAGGGGGGGGGGGAAAGAGTAAGGAACAAAACAAAGAACGGGCATTGCTAAATTTGATGAGATTGATATTTTGTATTTAGTAAATTGGTAACACTTTAAGACAACACATCAGGCAAAATGAAAAAAAAAAGTTCCATGAAATGGAAAGACACGTATTCCTGTACTTGCTTCCTTCGTAGTCACTTTATTCCTACCTCCCAGTCCTAGAAACCTTACCAGCAGACTCCTGGAGTCTTGTTCCTTTTGTGGTCCTTTAACTCACCCTTGAACCGCTGAGTTGTTTCCAAAGAACAACTCAGTTGCTTTGCAAATAAATCTTGCAGGAAGCATACAATTTTCTAGTAATAGTTTTATGCTTTTTCTCATATCATACTCTCTCTCTCTCTATCAACTAAATACATCTTGCTAAACAAATCATTCCCAAGATAAGGACGCATTCCCTTTACTGGGGAGGGTGCTGGAGGGGTTTTTAGTGCCAGTTATATATTCAAAAAGAGAAGGTCAGAGTGTATTAATCAATATTCTGAAACCCATTTTAAGACTGTCTTTTTTATACAAGATGTGTGCTGAATTTTCCCAACTGTGACTCCACACTCATATAATAAATCATCATTCTCGTAAGTAAACTAAGCATTCTCCTACAGGAATGAGGGAAGAGCCCTCTTGGAAGTCTGGATACACACCCAAAGCTGCCACTTTGATGATCACGGCTTGAATATCAGATTCGATCATCTCTCTGAGCAAGTCCTCCTGGTTCCTCTGCCAAAGGTAAGCCAAAGGCTGAAGACTTAGCCTTTTGCATCTATCAGGTATAAGGGAAAAAAAAATCAGATCATACCTTAAGTGTTCCATACTTAGATCCATAGCAATCACATTGGATTTTAAACATAACACTTCTTTCAAAGATTTTAGCAGTTAAAATGCTTTAAAAGCATGTCTTGCATAATTATAGCAAGTTCCATGGGTACCTAAACTGAAAAATAATTAGAAAAATACATATTTCATAATGACCACGTATTGTAACACCTGTACACTATGAGCTAATTTTATCTACTAACTTTAAAACTTTTTTTTTTTGGGGGTCTGGTCATGGGGCTTGAACTCTGGGCCTGGGCGCTGTCCCTCAGCTCTTCAGTTCAAGGCTAGTGCTCTACCATTTGAGCCACAGCTCCACTTCTGGCTTTTTTTCTTTTTGCTTATGTGGTGCTAAGGAATCGAACCCAGAGCCTCAGGCATGCAAGGCAAGCGCTCTACCACTGAGCCACCTTCCCAGCCCCATAACTTTAAAACTTTTTGTGAGAATTTGATTCTGAGGAACAAATGCAATTAAGTGAGCACCTAACATACTGTACTAGAGACTTTGTATTTTAAGTACAGTAGAAAGAGTGTAGGTTTTAAAGTCAAGACGAATCTGGGTTTGAAATGTTAGTCTACAAGCTAGCTACAGTACTTTTAACAAGTCAAGCAGACTGTATGTTCTTGTCCTCAGTGTCCTAGCTCATTTAGCTCAGACACTGAACAGGAAGTTCTTGATAAGATTAAACAAAATAAGAAAATGAAGCTCTGATTTGCTTTTTTTTTTTTTTTTTTAAAGTTCTGGTCTTGGTGCTGGAATTCAGGGCCTGAGAGCTGCTCCTGATCCTCCAGCTGCTTTGTGCTCAAGGCGAGGCTCTACCACTTGAGCCATGGTGTCACTTCCCGGCTTTTTCTATAATGTTATTGGAGATAAGTGTCACAGACTTTCCTGCTTAGGATGGCTTCAAACAATATTCTCAGATCTCTGCCTCCTGAGTAGTTAGGGCTACAGGTGTGAGCTACAAGTGCCCAGATCCATGATTTGCTCTTGATGTTTTACATTCCACAGAAAATGCTAATCCTTGCTAGTGCCACTGCTGACAGCCAGGTTGAAGGCTACCAATGTCCCTTGAGGCAGCAGCCTAATTTCTCACCATGCGTCCACCCTTGCCTTTTAAAAATTTGCTTTCAGTACAGAGGACAAGGCGATTCTTTTAAAACATAGATCATGAGACTCCTCTGTTCAAACACCTCCAGTGGCACTCACAGAGGACAAGGCGATTCTTTTAAAACATAGATCATGAGACTCCTCTGTTCAAACTCCTCCAGTGGCACTCTGTCTCTTCAGTTTAAATTCATGAAATGTATCTCCTCAATGTTTTATAATTTCCACTGTAGAGAGTTTTCATCTTTATATTTATTCCTAAAGGTTCACTTGTAATGAAGTTTACTTGTAATGAGATTGCATTCTTGATAATTGGCCATTGGCATATACCATGCTACCGGTTTCTGTATGGATCTTTTCCAAAGGAAGTGAAACCAGAATGCTGAAGAGCTGGCTGTACTCCTGTGTTCACTGTAACACTGTTCAAAGTACCTGAGAAACAGAAATGACCCAAGTGTCCATCAACGGATGGACAGATGAGAAAGCATGATACACAAACACCATGTGATACTCTTCAGCTGTAAAAGTGAATGAAAGCCAGTCCTTCATGACAACATGAATGACATGACTGGAACTGTTAATATCAAGTAGTTATTGTTATTGTATTTGTGTTTGTTTTGTCTGGCTGATATCAGGGCTTTAACTCAGAAGCCTTGTGCTGGCTCAGGTTGCTGGCTCATAGCTAGTGCTCTATCGCTTGAGCTACATTCCAACCTTGCTTTTGGCTGGTTAATTAGCGATGAGTCTCATGGACTTTTTGGCTTGGGCTGGCTTCAAACTGCAGCCCATCAGGTCTCAGAATTACAAGTAGGGTTGTGCGTCATTGCCACTTACTGTACAGTACTTTATTCATACAAATAAGTTCATTTAAGTTTTGCTTTGCTAAATGAACATTAAATAGTATTACCATTTAACTTTATGAATTTTAAATACATCAGTGTAACAAAGTGTTTCGGTACCTGCAGGTACAAACTGAAATGTTTTACTAGTGCATACCTTGAAAAGGTCATAGGGTTTTGAGGGGAACAATGGTCTATTTTTTAAGTAGAATGGCTTAACATTTAAGTATTTCAATCTTATGAATGTTGTTGATCAAGAATTAAATTGATGGATCAAAGAGGCGAAGTCTATTTAGTAAGAAATTTTTACTTAAGATATTATTCTATTTTTTCTAGTAGATTCTGATTTAAATGATAATCATGAAGTATTAGAAATTACCAGGGTTTATTAAATCAAAGGAAAAAAATTAAAGATCATAGTTATCTATTAAAAATCTTTGCTGAAGTTACTGAGGATACAGTACAGTGGTAGTGACACTGTTTAGCATGTTTGGACTTGAGATGATTACTAACACCACATAAGAAAAAGTGGAAGTGAAGGTGTGGCTCAAGTGGCAGAACACCAGACTTGACAAGCAACAAAAGAAGGTAAGAGAGAGCTCAAGGCACGGAGCTCAAGCCCCAAGATCAGCAAAATAGAAGTCATATAAGTAAAAAGACTCTTTCTTCTATGTGTGGCAAAACGACAGGAAACATTGAGACCAGGACGGATCACTTCCGTAAGTATGTGTCCTTTACGGCGCTGGACATGTATGACATGCCTCCCTGTGACCTGGACAGCTGGTTTCACTCCTCCACTTACCTCTGTGGTGTGAAGGGTAGAACCCAGGGCTGCCCGCACGCTCAGCACATGATCTATCACTCAGCTAGACTCCCAGCTTCTCGCTCAAATTCATTACACATAGATACACATACTTGTAAAATATAGTAGGAATCCATTTTTTCTTACACATTTTCTACTCGAACACGCTGATAATCAGAAAGTATGGCTCCTACTGATATCCCCTCTACGTCTTCTTTTTCCTGAAGATAAAGAAAAAAATACAAAGAAAACCATATATGGCTCTGCATCATGTTCTGAAAATTATAAATGAGCATATCCCATCTAAGAAGTCACAACTGAAGCAAAGTAATTTCCTGCAAATATAATCCACATCTACACATTTTAATATTTAATATGATCCTCAGCTTCAGGAAAATATTATTCTTTTTCTTAAAATTTAAGTAACTAGAGATTGCTTAACATGGAAAAGCTACTCAGAATTCCATTTAGAATTTCCAAATTCACACTTACATATATAACAAGTCGGATATCTAACTTAAATATCTTACATATCTAAGAAGCTAGATATTTCCTTTACATAGCTTAAGAAGTTCAATTTCTATTTAAGGACAATATTTCTCCAGAATCAGCATCTTTTAAATTAAGTAATGGCACAAATACATAAAATACATAAGACACCAGTTTTAATCTCCATCTTAGAAAGAGATAACAGACAGAAGATCATCCAGAAAGCACAGTTGATAAAGAACTTATCATAGGAAGGGAACAATAAACTATTATCCATACAGGTACAATTGAGAAGATCCAGCCGTATGTCCAGCATGGCCACATAGAGACGGTGCCTCTGTCCAGAATGCTCACTAATGAGCTGAAGAAAAAGTAAATTCAAGTATGTTCATAAAGTAAGGGTGGGTTAAAAAGCAAAGATTAAGCTGGGCACCACTGGCTCACAGCTATAATCCTAGCTACTCAGCTGACTTGAGATTTTAGGATCCTGGTTCAAAACCAGCCTGGGCAAAAAAGTTCTGGAGACCCTTATCTCCAATTTACCATCAGAAAGCTTAAAGTGGAGGTATGGTTCAAGTGGTAAAGCATTAGCCTTGAACAAAAAAAAAAAAAACAACCCAAAACAAAAACTCAGGGACAGTGCCCAAGTCCTGAGTTCATGCCCCAGTACTGGCACACACATGGGCATGTGCGCGCACACACACACAAGTACACAACAAGATCAATCAAGCACATGCATGGATATGGACAGCTTGGGAACTTGGAAGGACAGTTCTGAGATGTAATGTAGAAATGTAAGGTAGTACACTCAGGGAAGAATACTATACAACATGGGCTGCTGTCTACAGAACAGATGAAAAGGCAGTGGCTGCTGGGCAGCGGTTCCCTGAACAGCGGTGAAAGAGACCCCATCCCATCTTATGGACATGCAGAAGAATTACTTCAGAGATGACTTGAGTATTGGTCTTACCAAACATGGACTGTGAATAAAAAAATTGTGTTTCATAGAAAACAGGCCTAATTTCCAGAGACACTGAAAGAACCTTGTGTGCCTGAAGGATAAACAAAAATGCACAACAGGAATTCCTAATACCTTTGGAGATAAAGCCAATTTAAATTTTACTTCCAGAATGAGAGGAATATCTGTACAAACTGACCCCCAAATAAAATGATTGTTAGATAATATTTCAGGAAAAGATCTATTATCTTTATTTTGCAGCCTCAGCAACTTGGTAAGAACACTTCCTTGTAACTTTTCCTAAGTCATTTTCTTTTTATAAAAGTTTCTGTAAGTCAATGGAATAAAAACAAGTCCCCATGTTCTTCATTAACTTCAAATGTATCATAGATCAGAATAGAATTCATGCCACTATCCCCAGCAGAAAGTTCATAGCACTGTTAGATATACTGAATGGAACTCTGAATACAAACATAGAGTGGTATTTACGTAAGAGTTATCAGCACATACTTCCAGCCTCTGGAGAAAACAAGAACTTTAAGAAACAGGACACAGAGGTGAAGAGAAGGGGTACAAAACTCCAAAGGCACACCAACATTAAGGGAGAGGGAAAAGCAGACAAACTCAGCAAAGGCACGAGAGAAGTGGTGGTGGTAAAAGGAGGAGACAGCCACAATAAAGTAAGGGTGTGTGCACAGATGCAGAAAGAAGCCTGATGGCAACCAAAGAATAAAGCAGTAATATTACCAGCTACCTATTACAACCTAGGTACTTTATATATCTTATCAGCCACTTATGAAATACAAATATTAAATTTATTCTTCTGTACATAAAAAACCAAGAGGGTTAACTAATTGAAGTTGTAGCAAGAAAGTAGAACACTCTTTTTGTCTTCCAGCCATGTCTGCCCTGTTCCTTCCACATTACCATATGCTGTTGAAAGTTTCACAAAACCACTGAATTTTAAAATGAGAGGGTTGACTACAACCATCGATGGGGAGTTTGCCACTGTAACTGATGGAACAAAGGATACACATTTGAAGCCAAAACACAGACACTGACAAATTCACCAAAGGATGAATGGCAAATCCCTGGGGAAACGAACCTGACTAATTAATCATTTTTTGTTGTGTGTTTAATTATCAATTGGAACAATTAAATAATGTTGGTATAAAGTTGCTGTTTTCATTTGAAGAGTTTATATTGCTAAACTCAACAAAATTCAGAGAATTTGGATTATATTTTCCTTAAGACTAAAGGAGAACAAAATGAAAAACAAATGTCATTAACAAGACATTGGAGTCAAAGACTGGACCCTAAATGGCCTAGTGTATTGCTAAGCAACGACAGCTATCAGACACAAATAGAAACTATTCAGCCTACACCATTATCACTATTAATGATGGATGTATGAGTATAACCTAGGATAAAGTCGAGTTGCTTCCCTGAGTAATAGCAGTGTATAATGCCATTAAACATTTATATGAGATACTGTTCACACAGGGCTCCCTGAGGTAAACTTTCATTATCATTTTCGTTTTTATAAATAAGGGACATAGAACATTCTTACAGAGTCAGCTATGACAAGGTTTGAAAAGCAGATATCACAGGTTCATTGGCTGCTTAAAAGTCACTAACCCAATCTTTATCAAGGTAAAACACACCGGCAAGATAGTTAAAAAGCTAGTCCAGGCAATGATCTGACTTACAATAACAATAGAGAGAGCACAAATAAACAAACTGATAAAAACATAGCTTCCTTATTACTGCCATTTTCACACTTCCCTGTAGGCACAAGGCCATTTGTACTAAGCATTATTCAGCTGAGCTAATACATGAACACATGGATCCAAAGGCTAAATACAAATGATCAACCACATTTCTCATATTTAAATTGTTAATGCAGGAGAAAAGCCAAGATAATCTCTAGGTTTCTCCACTGAGGCTGGGAAACATTACAGAGCAACAGTTGAGTTTTACAAAAATAGGAGCATCTGTAGCCATGTATACACATGTACATGCCGAACATGTAAATTTGGTCTGGACTTTATATTATAAAGAAATTCTTGGAAGTGGTGCTGTGGCTAAAGTGGTAGAGCGCTAGCCTTGAGCTGAAGAGCTGAGGGACAGCGCCCAGGCCCAGAGTTCAAGCCCCATGACTCCCCCCCCAAAAAAAAAATTCTTGGAAATTCTGGTCTGGTTTCGAACCCTAATCCACCAACCTATGCTTCCTAAATAGTATAGGATGAGAAACTTGAGGCCCATGCCTGAGATAATCACTTAAAAAAAGTACTCCAACTATTGAGCATTGGGAATTGTTGATCCTTTGTCCTTCTGGATCCTATGACTATGGGTAACAGATGCACAACTGATGGCAGCTGCCGCTCCTCCAGGCTGGTCCTCTATCTCGTGTACCACAGCTATATTTTCAGCTTTTTTCTGGTTGGTTGGAGATCAGAGTCTTATGGGCTTCCCTGCCTGGGCTGCTCTGAACTGCAATCCTCAGATCTCAGACTCCTAGGTAGCTGGGATTACGGTGTGAGCCACCAGTGACTGGTTTATTACATTCTCTTTCATACAGGTTTATAGGCTAGGCATGGTAGTTGTGATCTTCACTATTCAGGAGGCAGAGATCAGTAGAACTGTGGTTCAAGGCAAGTCTGGGAAAAAATTTAGCAAAATACCATTTCAGCCAACCAGCCAGATGTGGTGATGTGTCCATGTTACCCAAGCCACATGGGAAGCACAGGGGGGAAGACAGAAGACGGAGACTGGCCCAAAGCAAAGCAGGAGCCCTCATCTGGAGAGTAACTAAAGCCACAAACAAAGCAAAACTGATTAAAAAAAAAAAAACCTCTCTCTTTTTCTCTGTGTCTCTGTCTCTCTCTCACACACGCACACACAAAGGAAAACCTAACAAGAAATTTCTAAAGAACCAATCTGGCTCTAAAAACATTAACTACTATCAACTACCAATGTACACATTTTAATGATCAATATCTACTTAGTAGCTGATTGTGTGATTAAACCTTTCTGTTATGCAAATAAAGTCCTAATATACATTTAGTATTATTCTGATCACCAAAGCATATATAAACACAGAACAGTTTATTCAGGGTTTGTGATTTACTCTGAAGAATAACTAGCTACTCTAAACATCAGTGCACTAAAGTATCAGGAACACACACAGGATAGGATGGATTTCTGCTAGGAAAGGGGCCTGACTCACACAGGATAGGATGGATCTCTGCTAGGAAAGGGGCCTGACTCACACAGGATAGGATGGATCTCTGCTAGGAAAGGGGCCTGACTCTTGTCTCTTCTCAGCACTTAAAGAGTGTTAATAATGACAGATGATACTAGGGCTTAAAGGTACACACACATCTACTACCAAATTAAGGTTCTATTCGCTCAACATTTACTTGCTGACTTCAGTACAGAAAGGTTGACTCAAAAAGCCAACAAAATAAACTGGAAAAAAAAAGATGTCCTTTTTCTATAAATGAAGAAGAGGCCTACTTATTCGAAAGATGAGAGTATATGCAGCTTGCACTTATCAGAGATATTATTTTCTTTGAAAAATGCTTCAGATACCAGTATTATTCTGCTAATGAGATCCTGCCTGTTGAGAAAAAAAAAAAGAAAACGATCTGCTGAATTTAAAGTGCTTTTCATCTGAAAGGCATTCTAACATTTTAATACGAACCATTCATTAAAGAAATGTGCTTGCACTGTAGTTCTGAGTGGCAATACTGGGCTTCTGGCAACATGGTA